TGAACGGACTGTACCATTACTGCATCCGCTTTGAGCAAGATTCCCGCTCCCCAAAGAAAACGGTGCGGGAGTACTTCAGCCCCCGGCGCCCCTTGAAGGAGGATGACAACATGGTCCAGCCCCCCAAGCGGCCCCGGGCCTCCAGCCCTTCTGAGGACGAAGACGACGATGACCCTTCTGTGGTGGAGAAACTGAGGCAACTGCAGGAGATGGCCGCTCAGGTGGAGCAGACGCGGCAGCCTTCCCCGCCAGCCCTCCCGAATCTGCCTTCCCATCCTCGTGACTCCTGGGAGGACTTTGGCAAGCTCTTGGTCTTCACGAAGAAAGGGGTGATGCCAAGTGCCAAAGTAAGACCTACTGCTCTGGTGGGTAGATGGGGAGGGGCTGTGGCTCAGCGGTGGAGGGCCTGAGTTATACGCGGAAGGCCCCAAGTTCTGTCCCCAGTTAGAAGGATCGATTGATGGGAAAGACCCCTGCTTAAGACCCTGGAGGGCGGCTGCCAGTCAGAGTAGACAAGACTGACCTGGATAGACCAAAGGTCTGACTTGGGAGGAGGCAGCTTTGTGGGTTTGTAAAAAAGGTACTGCTTCTGTTAAAGCTGCTTGGGGCACGGAGTATTAGACAGAAACAAAGAGCACTGGGTATAAATGATATAAATAAATAAAATTTGACTTTTAAGACTGCCCTCCCCTGTGCACAGGGCTCAGGGCGGTGAACAACATTTCAATAAATGCATTCATAGTCAGTTAAAAGCCATTTTAACAGTTCAGTAGATACATTCATAAGTCAATTAAAAAGTTCATAGGCAATGCAAAAGATTGCAGACAATTTCAGATGACGCTTGCAAATAAACCAGATTGTACCCTATATGATGAGGGTGAGAAGTGAAGGAATGCAGCGGGCTAAATGGAGACAGTTGGTGTCCTCAACCCTAGGCCTGGCGGAACATCTCTGACTTACAGGCCCTGCGGAACTGCACTAGGTGCTGCAGAGCACAGATGTCATTCGGCAGAGAGTTCCACCAGGTTGTGGCCAGGATCGAAAAAGCCCTGGCTGTGGCTGAGGACAGCTGGATATCCTTCGGACCAGGGATCACCAGAAGGTTCTTATCTCCATCAGGACCGAAAAAGCCCTGGCTGTGGTTGAGGACAGCTGGATATCCTTCAGACCAGGGATCACCAGAAGGCTCTTATCTCCAGAGTGTAATGCTCTTTGGGGGGTATACCAAGAAAGGTGGTCCCATAGATACCAGGAGAGGCGGTCCTAGAGAGAGAGAGAGAGAGATACGGGGTGAGTATCCCTGCTTTACATAGTCTCTCTCTCTCTTAGCTGTTTCTTGTTCTTCATCATACTTGTAGCGTAGTTAAGGCAGAGAATCAAGGGCGGGACTATGTAAAGCAGGGATACTCACCCCGTGGCTTGTAGAGAGCCGCATTCACAATTGTCATCGACCATGTGAGCCACTTTTACTTCCATCCTGGGCATGAGGCCTGCAGCATATCCATGACACCAGTGGCGGCTGTTTAGCGGGATGTTTGTCAGTCTGCGCAGGCAAATCAGAAGCCTTGCTGGTTAAAAGCCTCACCCACTTTCTAAAAGCAGTCGGCGGGCACCAGAAACGGTGTTGGCGGGTGCCATGGTGCCCACGGGCACAGTGTTGGAGATCTCTGATGTAGAACAAAATGGACGGGGCCATTTAGGGTGGTGCAGAATAAGTTGTCCGGTGTTCCTGTCGAGTTCACTGGCCACACTGAGGGACTGCTATTGGTATTGCTGTTTGAAGAACAGCAACCCCACCAAAAAACCCCCAGAGATCATAAGGGGGATGCCATGTTCCCTCTAAGCTGAGTTAGTGTGAGCTAGCCTCCATCTTTTTAGCCTCCATCTCACACATTTTTGTCTTAGCTCAGGAAGGATGGCTACAGAGCAAACTAATTTATGCAGTAGCCAAATTGCTCGCTCACAAGTAGAAGTTTTGTTCATAAGTAGAGATGTGAAGGCCCGGAAAAAACACCGGAAAAATTCGGGGGTGGAAACGGTTTATTTCCGTTTTTTTCCTGAAGCCTTTTTGTTTTTTTCCGAAAAATTGGAAAAATTGAAAAAAGAAAAAAAATTGATTATGGAACGTTTTATTTTAACATGATGAATAAAAGAGAGAGAGAGAGAGAGAGAGAGAGAGAGAGAGAGAATCAGATTGATCTAATTTATGTGCACTGAGGACAAGGTTACAAACTGAACCCTCCAATGCAAGAACAAGATGCATTTCTTCCTTAGGAGGTGCGATTGTCAGAAGAAAATAAAAAGTTTCAGTTTTGTTTTTGCATGTGGGTGGGTATTCTGTTTGTAATAATTGTTTGGATACACTATATTTTTAATATGCTAGTTGTGATAATTTCATGCCAAGTAAAAATGTCCATAGTCATATTTTATTCCTAAAGTAACATAATGACTTTCAATCTAGAAAAGACAAAAGAAATGCTAATGTAGCATTTTTTCAATTTTTCCAAAAATTTCCGTTTCCCCCCGAAAAAACCCGGAAAAAAAACGGGTTTTTTTCCGAGCTTCAAAATTTCCGAAAATTTTACATCTCTACTCACAAGACTCCAGAGCTTAGAGGGAGCATTGGACTATCTGGGAGACCTGGGTTCAGTTTACTGGTGCTTAGCTTAGTTTATTTATTACAGTCAACAACCATCTTCAAACATGGTACAATATAAAAATATAATATAAAAGATAATAGATTAGAAGAAAAACATTAGGATATACAAATAATCATATTTCATAGATAAAGTATACCAATAATCATATTTCAGAAATAAAAAATATCATATATTATTCTAAAAATAGAAAATCAAAACAGGGAAGGAGAATTCCTACGGAACAGGTCTGTTATTTGCCGTGCACTTTGATCGCTTGGGCACAAAACTTAGCTGTTACCTTAGTACTAGCTGGAATGTCATCAGTCCATAGTTTCAAAAGGGAGGACTCCTTAAAGTCTCTTTATAACATGTGCTCGTGTCTTCCTCCAGCAGAGGTCCAGATATCCTTCTGTTTCCGAATCTTCCTCAGGGAGTTCAAGGCTAAAGAGTGACTGAACGTGCTTTTCACTTTGGAGGAGGCTTGTAGCTCACCAAAACTTTTTTTGCAGTGTTCATTCAAGAGAATTTTGGATTAAAACTTTGGTATGTGGCAACCAGGTTGTACAATAGCTTTTGAGATTCTTGGAGATGATTTTTGATATTTTTGATCAAGATGATTTCTTATATATGTAGAAATTATTGTAAAAATATTTTTCAAAAAATATAAAATTATTTATGATATGTTATAATCATCTGTGCACGGTACTTGTTGTATGTTCATTTAGCTTACACAGCAGAGTGGGGATTCGAACCTGGGTCTCCCAGATCCTAGTCCAGCACTCTAACCACTGCAACATGCTGGCTGATAGAGACAGTATAGATTTGCTGGTATTCAGCATACCAAAGACAGCTGTGATGGACAAGCAGCTCTCTCTCTCTCCCTCCCTCTCTCAAGCCTCTTTCTTGCACTGTGTCTGCACTGCATTCCAAACGTTTTTGAGAGAGCCAGCGTGGCGTAGTGGTTAAGAGTGACGGGCTCTAATCTGGAGAACCCGCTGGGTGACCTTGGGTCAGTCACAGCTCTTTCAGAGCTCTCTCAGCCCCACAAAACAAGTTGGCTCACCACCTAGTGGTGCATGACGCTGAAAGAGCTAGAACTTTAGGCTGCCAGATAATCTTCGGATCTCCTGTCTAGACTATACACAACGCCATACGATAATTATTCCAAAAGTTTCGATTAGCAGTCATCCCCCACACTGGAAACTTGCCAAAGAGACCTTGTAGGAGTACTTGGAGACCTCTTTATCTGAGCTAATCTGGGAAGAGGGCAGGCAGCGCTGCTCTTTATTCAGAATGGATGGAGTTGATCTAAGTGAGCTGGAAGCTGAGGCCCAGCGCCGAGCCAGATGGGCCCATTGGTCTGATCGCTTTGCTCCTCTCGTCAAGATTGCAGGTTTTGATTTAGATGGAACCATCATCACTACGCAGTCCGGGAAAGTGTTTCCGACAGGCCCCGATGACTGGAAGTAAGTTCAGAGCTAGGGGAGGGGATGGTTTGGAGAAATTAATTCGCACAAAAAAAAGAGTGACGGCTGGTCTTTGCATGTATGCTTGTTTTATACTTAATGTTTATTTCAATCCTGCTTTTCTCCCTGGTCAGGACCCAGATCATAGGGATTGATTCTGGAAGTTGTGTTACTATTTGGACATTTGCAAAAGGCTTAGCTTCGACCAGGGCGAGGGCTTTTTCACTACGGCCTGGTGGAACGTACTCCCATTTGCGATCAGGGCCCTGCAGGACCTAGCACAGTTCCGCAGGGCTTGTAAAACGGAGCTGTTCCGCCATTATAGGGATTGATTCTGGAAGTTGCGTTACTATTTGGACATTTGTAAAAGGCTTAGCCTCAACCAGGGTGAGGGCTACGTGCTCCCATTTGCGATCAGGGCCCTGCAGGACCTAGCACAGTTCCGCAGGGCTTGTAAAACGGAGCTGTTCCGCCATGCTTTCAGTTGTGGGGGTGGGCGTTCAGTCCATTCTGCCCCACCCTATCCTGTCTGCGGCACTGTCTGTGAGCTTCTTCCAGTGCCGTACTGTTTTGGATATCATCTAGGCACTGGAATCTTCTGGAATTATTACCTTATAAGGCATGGGATCCGATTTTTAGCTGCTATGTTATTTATTGTTTTACTTGGAGGGGGGGTTGGCTGTTGTTTTTACGTTGTGAGCCACCCTGAGCCCATTTTTTGGGGTCGGGCGGGGTATACATTTAATAAATCAACAAATAAATAACTTTTCCCGTCACTGGGGACAGCTGTGCCCTCCTCGTGAGTCGTGTGCAGAACAGCACGTGAGAACTGGCCTCAATCCCTTTGTCCTTTGCAGAATCCTGTACCCTGAAGTCCCGCGCAAGCTGAAGCAACTTCTGAGTGAGGGGTACAAGGTATGCCTCTTTGCCAACCCTCCTCCCTTAATCTGCCTCTCTCTTCCTTTGTCCCCCTCCTCACTGCTGCGTTCGTCTCTTTCCTCCACCCTGGCAGGTTGTGATTTTCACCAATCAGCTGGGCATCAGCCGGGGACGCCTCAGGCCTGAGGTTTTCAAAGCCAAATTGGAGGCTGTGGTCGAGCGGCTGGGCATCCCGGTACAGGTAAGAAGAAGAGGAAGAGATTAGATCTATCCCCGAGTCTCAGAGCGGCTTACAATCTCCTTTCCCTTCCCATCCCCACAACGGACACCCTGTGAAACAGGTGGGGCCGAGAGAGCTCTTGAGGGAGCTGCTCTTGAGACAACAGCTCTGAAAGAACTTGTGACTGACCCAAGGTCACGCCAGCCGCTGCATGTGGAGGAGTGGGGAATCAAACCTGGTTCTCATAGATTAGAGTGCACGCTCCTAACCGCTACACCAGACTGGGTAAGCGAGAGCAGGGGATCGGCGTATCCCACAAAATGTTTTGCATTGGACAGTGGTTGGTTGAGGTGGGAGAAACACTAGTGCCCGGATGTCTGTGGCGTGGCCAGGATGGCCATCAGAAATCATCATGTTTTCTGTGGTGTTTACTTACTGTAAATTGTGTAGGGAGAGTCTTAAAAAGTCAAATCCCTCCCTATGGCCAGGACTGGGCCCCTGGGCAGAAATCATCATCTTTTCTGTGGCGTTTACTTACTGTAAATTGTGTATGGAGAGTCTTAAAAAGTCAAATCCCTCCCTGAAGGCTTACAGCAGGGGTCCTCCTCAACCATGGTACGCGTTGACACCTTTTCTGGTGCCTGCCAAGTGTTTTTAGGAAGTGGGTGGGGCCGGCTGGGGCTTTTCCCAGCAAGGCTTCTAGTTGACCATTGGAGGGTTGTTGTATTTTTGTTAGTATTTGTGTGTGTGTGTGTGCATGCGTACCTGGACGTCATGGCTGACTACTGGCGACCCCTAATGAGACAAGGACGTTCAGAGAGGTGGCTTACTGCCTGCTTCTGCCTCCTGGCCCTGGTGTTCCTTGGAGGTCTCCCTTCCAGGTACTTGCCAGGGTTGGCCCTGCTTAGCTTCCGAGATCTGATGAAATCAGGCTTGCCTGGGCTGTCCAGGTCGGGGCCGGCCACTGGAGGTCTGATTGGCTGTGCAGATTTTTAAAAACGCTGCTGGGACAGCAGCTGCTAGCACAGCAGAGGGGTCACTGTGTGACTGAAGGCAGGCTGTGGCAGCCACTGGGGGACCGGCTCCGCCTCCTGCAGCAGGCATGTAATGGCAGCACCTGCCACACTGTGTCAGAATTCCAGAGGTGCCCACAGGCGCTCAAAAAGGTTGGGGACCCCTGCATCAACAGGCAGTTCGAGACCCGAGTGCCGCAAAACAGAGTGAGCTCCCGTCTCTGGTCCCAGCTTCTGCCAACCTAGCAGTTCGAAAGCAAGAAATTGCAAATAGACAAATAGGTACCGCTTCGGTGGGAAGGTAACAGTGTTCTGTGCTCCTCCTCATCTAGTAGCCTCCTAGAGTCAGATTCGACTGGCTTTCGAGCAAGGGAAACCTTTACTGCATTTCATGATGTTTATATTCACAAAAGAGCTGCAAAGTTAACGGATGGAAAATCTTCACTTTGAAAATCCTTTTAGAGTGCCACCAGAAAGGGAGCTGCTGTTACATCTGGGGGAAAGCAAGTTTGCTAATTTGAATTCCTTTAAACATGTGGATTAGACTTTGCTGAAATAATGGGCAGGGTCTACTCCACTAATTGCAGGCATCCCCCAGCAATGCTAGCAGGTCAGGCCTGTGTTACACTTCCATAGAAGCTCTGGCAATCGTCACAAATGGGCAGATGTTTCCCAAATGCCTTTTTTGTGCCTTGTGTGTGAACAAGGAGTGGGGCTAAGCCCATCCGTGTCACCCACACTGCTCTCCTTTCCCCACAGGCCTTTGTGGCGACTGGCTCTGGCATTTACCGCAAGCCCGTCTTCGGCATGTGGGACCATTTGTGCAAAAAGGAAACGAGGGGGGGGGGGGGAGGCGGGTTGGTTGATGAGAGAGGGAGGGGCCGGCTGGCTGGGGACGCGAGAGGTCTGCGCTCTTCCCTTGACCCTGCCCCTTTCCCCCTCCTGTCTTCCAAGGCAAACGGCGACCTCTCAGTGTCTCTGAGCCAAAGCGTCTACGTGGGAGGTGAGTGACGAACTAAAGGATGCTATCCCATAGAAGGGTGAGCGCCCTTAGAATCCTGATCTGCCGACTGTCAAAAGCACTCTGGGGTGCGAGAGAGCCGACTTCGAGCTGGCACGTTCCTCTGCTCGGGACTGGTTGCCGGCCTAGTGCTTTCTGCGTCTCAAGGTCCCGTTCCAGATACTGGCTGCAATTTGTCAGATAAATTTGTTTCCCAATTGGCAGCAATGAGTTTGTTGATGGCTGTGTTTTCCCTCCGTAGATGCAGCTGGGCGTCCACCAAACTGGGCCCCTGGGCATAAGAAGAAGGATTTCTCATGCAGCGACCGCCTGGTATGGATACATCTGAGTTTCGCTTGTTCTCTCATGTACTCCCTTTCCCTCCTGTGGACTGGCCTTTGTTATTTGGGCACCCTCAAAGGAGGTTTAATTGACCTGGCTTGACATCCCACTCTTTCTTCTGCACCAGTGTTACCCTCAGTGTATATATTTCATTCTTTGGGTTAAGTGGGATGTCATTCTGCTTTTTCTCAGTTTTGAAAAATTGGCATCTTTTTAAAAAGAAAAGACACTATGAATTATAATTCCAAATGGGTGGCTGTAATAGTCCATAGCCGCAAAATAAAATAGGAAGTCCCGTTATGTATTATGTTCCCCTCCTGTGTTTCTTTGGATGGCTGAAGGGGACCTCCTGTTTTTACTGGCAAACAGTGTCATCACTGTCACACCAGTGTGCACATGCACACACACCATGTGCTTCCATGTGCAGCAAGTATATCCATGTACTTGCTGCACAAAAGCACTGTTAGAACCTGCTCTGTTGCACCTTCAAGATCTCAACTTTCAATCAACTTTCAATCTCAACTTTCAATCAACAATTGGCTTTTTGGGGGGGAAAGGTAAATCGTTTTAATGATCCTCTAATAAGAGTGGAAACCATGTGCCATTCACATCACTTATGGTTCATCTCTGCTGCCACCACCATTTCGTTGTATCCAGATCCCATAAATAATTTGGAAACCTGAACTATAGAAACAGAATAACTTGTGCAGAGTGTGAGTTGCAACAGTGTAGCCTCCTGCTTGCAAAAAGTGAAATTCTTTGCCCAGTTATGCAACTGGCATCCATCTAGTTAAGAGTTGCTTAATTTGTATAATTTCTTCCCTGTTCTGTGATTTGAGGATAGTCTATGAATGTGTTTTGATAATGAACAGAGAGATACAGGAAGTTCTTTGAACCGGGAAGAGGAACAGGGGATCTGCATGGGATATGTATTGTATACAAAGCACCAGCTCATTTATCCTGGGTGTCCGCCTGCATAGTGTACCTCTCTAGGGAAAGGATTGTGGCTCAGTGGCACAGCATCTCTTTGGCATGCGGAAGGTCCCAGGTTCAATCCTGCATCTCCATTTAAAAACGTCAGGTAGCAGGTGATGGGAAAGACCTTTGCCTGGGACCCTAGAGAGCGCCTGCCAGTTGAAATAGACAAGGCTGGCCTCGGGAGACCAAGGTCTGATTCAGTATAAGGCAGCTTCGCGGGTTCAGAACAAATAGGGCACCTGGCTGACTCCTCACTGCTGCGGGTAGCGAAGATTTATCCCTTGCCCGCCCAGTCTTTTTACCAGGTAGAGGCAAAGGGTCTGTTCATTTTCTACCCCAACAGTTTCTAAGCAACCCAAAAGGTACATGCTTGGTGTGGAACTCGATAGCCTAAGGGTCTCAGTTCTTTGTTTTCATGTAGCGAAAGTTTCTAGTCCTCACGGTGCAAAGAAAAGATTAAAGAGCTGCAGAGGGTACCATGGTAGAAGTGAGAAGACGAATAAGTGGGGCTAAGAGTGTCCCTTATCTCTTGTTTGTGACCGCTGCTCCTGGAACCTTCTTCTCCGGCCCCTTCATTACCATCATCACTCTCAGTCACAGCCAAAGAGTTCCTTGAAAATCTAAGCCTCAGAAGCAAATTGCGCATGTGCAACATGCGTGCATTTTCGTTGTGGGGATAGAACGTCTGTGTGTTCTGTGTGTGCTTCTCATGCACGTCCTGCGGATTCCCCCCCGCAAGAAAGAGGCTCCGTTTTCACTCCCCGACTTTGATCCAGTGAGTAGTTTCTTTCACTCCCCAAAGCCTTGGAACAGGGACCGAGCCGCCCTTGGACTTCCTGACGGGCTGCTGCCCTGATGGGCCTCTAATAGGCAAGAGTGAGCCGCGTCCCAGCAGCACTGGCCAGACCACAGAGACCGCTTGGCTCACTCCAGTCCAGGCCCACCTTAGGAGCTCCCTTCCGGCTCTTGACTCTGTTCTGAGGTTTGACAGTGTGGCCATTCCAGCAGTAGTGAGCAAACCCATTTGAGGAGCATATGGATCTGCCTCGGGATCTGCAAGTCCCTTTTGCTTGGCTTAAGTTCCTCCTCCAGAAAATGGGAATATTAAAGGCCTCTGCTCATGTAAAGGTTTCCCTTGCTCGAAAGCCAGTCGAATCCGACTCTAGGGTTGCGGTGCTCATCTCCGTTTCAAAGCCGAAGAGCCAGCGCTGTCCGAAGACGTTTCCGTGGTCATGTGGCTGGCATGACTAAACTCCAAGGTGCACGGAACGCTGTTACCTTCCCATCGAAGTGGTCCCTATTTATCTACTTGCAATTTCTTGCTTTCGAACTGCTAGGTTGGCAGGAGCTGGAACTAGAGACGGGAGCTCACTCCGTCATGCAGCACACTCGGGTCTCGAACTGCTGAACTACTGACCTTCCACAGCCTGCAGTTCAGCGTCTTAACCACTTGAGCCACCACAGCTCCTTCTGCTCATGTACTTTGGGCTTAACAGGCCTCTCATCTCCTTTGCACTCACCTGCTCTTAATGAACATGGAATTATTTGTGACGAAGGAACAGGGCAAAGTTCTTCTGAACCATTTGGAGAGAGCATTGACCAGAGCATTGATCAGTCGTTGATGGCAATGGCTTTCTGCTCAGGATCCATGCAGACAACGAAGGCACATTGCAGCTCATTTCTAGCCTAGCATCAGCCAAGCAGCTCAAGTTTGGCGTCAGTTCAGTGTAGTGGTTAAGAGCAGCAGACTCTAATCTGGAGAACTGAGTTTGATTCCCCACTCCTCCACATGCAGCCAGCTGGGTGACCTTGGGTCAGTCACAGTTCTCTCAGAGCTCTCTGAGCCCCACCTACCTCACAGGGTGTCTGTTGTGGGGAGAGGAAGAGAAGGAGATTGTAAGCTGCTCTGAGACTCCTTCGGGTAGTGAAGGGCGGGGTATAAATCCAGCTCTTCTTCTTCTACATCTTGGAAGAAACCTTTTCCTTAGGGATCCTAGAGACTGCATGTACCTGGTCCCTGTTCAAAGAGTTGTGGGCTCTTTCACATAGGGATATTGGGGAAGGACGCCAGAGAAATAGCCTGGCACCCCGTGCCCTGCATTTGGAGCTGTTTCAAAACCTTTACTTCTGTCATCTCTCTCCCCCGACACAGCGGGCGCTGGACCCCAAGGCACAGCTCTATGATCCCCCAGATGCTTCTCTGACCTCCTCCTCCCCAGAGCTGGTTTTGGCAGTTGGCTTTCCTGCTGGTGAGTAGCCACCTGTGCCCTTCCTCTGACTTCCTGTGTTGCCGCCTGCTAAATTCTGCTAAATGGGGAGAGGATCAGCAGCAGCAGAGAGCAGCGAGGGAGAGAGTTGACTCTCTCGCCAGTCTGGGATGCCCAAGGCCAGCAAACCTGACATCTCCCGTCCGGGGGAGGGGGGATTCTGATCTGGCTCGATCCCAGCTCCCGACCTGAGAGCAAGACCTCTGTGCAGCCGGCAGAGTGGTCAGAAACCAGGCCCGGCTTTGCACAGGGTGGTTGCCTGCAGCTTAGACTCTTCCAAGCCTCCCCCCCCCCCATTAGCCAAAGAGTGATGGAGCGGTATGGAGATGTATACCTCATACATATATATATATAAAAGCAATCGGTAGTCCCCCTGTGTGGATCAGAACATCTGCAAGGAGGACCCACCTGGAAGCAGGGCATACAAATATTACAAATGTTCTGTACATGTACAACAAAAAGGCTGATAAAATTTGGCCTCCTCTGGCTGCCTAGCAACTCAAGGTGCTATTCAATAATGGTAGAAAACAAACCAACGGTTAGGTTTTGGCTGGGGTGCGGGGTGGGGAAACAAACGATTGTGTGGTGGGGAGATGGGACTACCTTGCAAATCCGTAGAGCTCATCTTCTAGTTGGACAAAGAGTATTCTAAAATCACAGTGGTTTAGGAAACAAACGTGTTTCCTACAAAGGGCAGTGTAGCTTTATGGTAGCTGAAGCCATTCCTTCATCTCTTCTGCCTGCTGAGCGCATCAGTGGTTGTCAGCAGCCTTTAGGCAGGTGAGTTGAGGAAGCAGAGCAAGGCAGCTGAAAAATATTGCCTGGGGGGGTGTCACTTGAGATAAATGCAGGCCCATAGCTACAGTGGGGCATCTCGGGGCCAGGCCCCCCTACTTGCTGGCAAGGCCCCCTGACTTCCCATCCAGCCCAGGGTATCACGGCCTTCTCCCCTGGATTAATTTGATTAGCAAGTGGTCCCTAAGGAATTTAAATGCCCCCTGACTTTAAAAAAACCCTGGCTATGGGCCTGGACAAATGGCCCTGGGCCTGGGATACCTTGGGGGCTACCTGCAGCCACCTGAACCCTTGCACATGAAGCCGCCTTATACTGGATCAGACCTTCGTCCATCAAAGTCAGTATTGTCTACTCAGGCTGGCAGCAGCTCTCCAGAGTCTTAGACCAGAGGTCTTTCACTTCACCTAATGCCTGGATCTAACTGGCGACGCTGGGGATCCAACCTGGGACCTTCTGCATGCCAAGTGGAGGCTCTTCCGCTGAACCACACTTCCCCCCCCCCCCCATAACATATGAGTTTCTGGGACTGGGCTTCCCTGCATGGCACCTCTTACTGAAGTCGATGCCTGGTGGGTCTTTTCCATCCTTTGTTGGTGTCAGGTTGAACCTTTTTGGCCTTTCGTGTACTAATGCTGTTTTTATTTGGGGAAGGCTTGTATTTTTGCTGCTGATTGCGCCCCTTTGTTTTGCTTTTATGGCTTAATTAGTTTTTATGTAAATGTTATTGGGGGAGGGGTTACTGACCATAAACTTCCTGGTATGCTTTAAGTAGAATGGTGGGTTCTTAGGAAAAACTTTTCCACGGTCGGAGTGGTTCAAAGGTGGAATCAGCTGCCTAGGGAGGCGGTGAGCTCCCCTTCACTGGCAGCTTTCGAGAAGAGGCTGGACGAATATTTGTCAGAGATGCTTTGGGCTGGTCCTGCATTGGGCAGGGGGTTGGACTAGATAGTCTGTATGGCCCCTTCCAACTCTGTGATTCTGTATTGCTAGGCTTATGGTATTGCCAGCATCCATGCTCAGCTACCTCATCCCCTTTGTCCGCCTACCTTCCTGCACTGACTCCTTCCGCTTCCTCCCATTCTAGCCGGCAAATCAACATTTGTGAAGCAGCACTTGGTCCCGGCGGGTTATGCCTATGCCAACAGGGTAAGTGGAGGAAAAAGGTCTCCCTCCTCCTTGCCCCAGTCGTTCCCTTCCCACCCTTCTTGTTAGCCTGCCTCTCTCCCCCAACCTCCAGGACACGCTCGGTTCGTGGCAGAAGTGCGTGGCCGTGTGCCAGTCGGCGCTGCAGGCGGGAAAGAGCGCGGTAGTGGACAACACCAATCCGGACTTGGAGTCGAGACGCAGGTGAGGCTTCTCCTCCCTCTGGATGGGAGATTATGAGGCTTAAGCCTGGTCTGGATGTGTGGCAGAGAGCCCTGGCCTGGATAGCCCAGGCCAGCCTGATCTCGTCAGATCTCGGAAGCCAAGCAAGGTCGACCCTGGCAAGTACTTGGATGGGAGACCTCCTTGGAATACCAGAGGCGGGGGCAGGCTTTATTCAGCCACCTCTCTGAATATCCTCCAGGCCCCCAGTAGGGGACAGTCACCAGAGGTCGCCATGACTTCCAGGTGCACACATACCCACATGCGCACACACAAACATGCACATATACCACAAAAAAAAGATGCGCCACAGAGCAATGATGTGGATTGTGCCACGTCATGCAGCCAGCAACGGATTTTTTTAAAAAGTCCCTCCATACCAGGGGCCCCAGCCTTTTTTGATAACTGCGGGCACAGTCACCAAATGGCTGGCTCAGGAGCAATGTTCCCTCTAAGCTCTGGAGTCTTGTGAGCAAAAATTCTACTTTGTGAGCGACTGGCATTAAAGTTGTGAGTGAGCAATTTGGCTACTGCATAAATTTGTCTGCTCTGGAGCCCTCCTTCCTGAGCGAGGACAAAAATGTGTGAGCCAGAGGCTAAAAAACTGTGGGCTAGCTCACACTAACTCAGCTTAGAGGGAATACTGCTCAGGAGGTGGGAGCCAGCGACAATTAAATCACCCAGCTGGCTTCATGTGGAGGAGTGGGGAATCGAGCCCAGTGTTCCAGATAAGAGTCCACCGCTCTTAACCGTTACACCAAACTGGCTGCTACGGCTTACCTTCGCTCACTCAGTGAAGATCCTTGTGCTGTGGTGGCAGCTGCTGCCAAAACGGCGTTTTAAAAAATCTACACAGGAGATTAGGAGCCTTGCTGGGCAAAAGCCCCACCCACTTTCTGAAAACATCAGGAAAGGTGTCAGCGGGCACCCACAGGCACCACTCTGGGGACTCCTGCTCTACATGAATAACCCCTTGTAAAGGGGGGGGGGAGTAGTGCTGTGTGGGTAGACCAGGCTTAAGTCTGGCCCGTTGGTCCTCCCAGAGGAGGCAAGTTCTCTGACCTCTGTGCCTTTTCCTTGCCAGGTACATTGACTGTGCCAAGGCGCTTGGGGTTCCCTGCCGGTGTTTCCTCTTCACAGCCTCCTTGGAGCAAGCCAAGCATAACAACAGAGTGAGTACCTTCATCGGGATGGGGCCGAAAGGGTTTCCGCTGCCTTCTTCCCAAGCCAAGACCGCTTGTTTCTCCCGCTGCCTCAGGAAAGGCAATAAACTGACCTTGGCTAGTCTAGGAACTCCTAGATAAGTGCCGTACCCTGGACACTGCTTTGCTGAGTAATTCATGGCTTGGAATCCTATGAAGAAATCTTTCAGACTGGGCCGGGGGGGGAGAGAATCTTCAGTGATTCCTCCTCCTGCTTAGAGTGCTTAATCCCCCTCCCCCAGGTTCCTGGGAGGTCCTCCTGTCCTCTAGGAACAGCATTTCTGCAGAAGCAACTTTGGGTTGCTAGAGGAAGGAAATCCCTGCCATCTACAAAAATCCTCCATGAGATTCAACCCTGGGTCGTTTCCCTCTTCCAGCAGTGATGCCCTACTATATAAACTTTCAAGCTGTGCTCAACATTTGCCATTTGAGCATTGTCTCCCTGCCTGACGGGCCGGCACAGAGACCTAGAACTTTCTCTGGCCTTTGTCTCTGAAAGCAGAGGCTACGATGTTGGCTGGGTTGACTAGTGGTCACCGCCAAAGCACACTACTCTGCATGCAGTCACCTCATCCTTTCCGGAAGCCGACAGCTGTTTGAGCCATCACCGCATCCACTGAATTCTACAGATGATGTGTTGTCTAACAAGCAAACTGGATCATTCTTAAGGTCCCATGTGCATTGCCACTTTGCCCAAGAAGGGAACAATTTCATGTTTTGGTTAAAACTGCTGTACCAGAGGACTACAATGTGCTTTCTTTTTCCAGTTCCGGGAAATGACTGAGAAGGAACACGTCCCCGTTAACAGTATTGTCTTGAACACCTATAAGTGAGTTTCTGGAGGAGGGAGGGGTGGGTGGGGTTTCTGTGCAACTCCCGGGCCTGCCTCCGTCCTCCTGCCTCCGCGTTGTTGCTGAGGTAGCCAGATCTCCTCCTCTTTCTCATCCATCCCAGGCCAGCTAGAACATTCCAGCATCTACCAAGACTGGTTTTGAATTCCGAATTCCCATAACTTTCACTGAATTAAAAACTGGCAAATTACTAGTTCTTGTGTGTGGGAAAGAGGAGACATCTCCTCTGAACTCCAGACTCAAAATGAACTCTGTAAGGATGGATTTCTAGCTGTGTGAGAAGAATCCAGCACCAGTGTCACTAATTTAGTTACAGGAAGTGGGACTTTTTTGAGCATTGGCTTAAGTACTGTCTTTCTCTTTCACAGGAGTAACTATGTAGAACCGTCGCTCGAGGAAGGTTTTGCTGAAATCATAAAGATTCATTTTGTGCCTCAGTTCACAAACCCAGAACTGGAGTCACTCTACCGTCAGTTTTCCGAAGGATGACAGCAGGGTGGCAATCTACCAGCCCCTGGACAGTCCCACGCAAGTCGTTTAAAGGACACCCCCCCCCTTGCCAGAGAAGGTATGCTAAGGGAGGTGCTCCCCCTGCTGGTCAAAAGTGGTCAAGCATTTGGACTGAAGGAGATGGTGGTCCTTGGGCTGTTCAAATTGCAGTAGAAGCTAATTTACAGTTCTCTCCCCTCTGCAAAAAAAAAAAAAATCATTAAAAAAATTAATGTGAATTAAAGTTAGGAACCCAAACCTTGCTGGTTTTCTTTCTCGGCAAAGGCCATTAAAGGTACAGCTTGTGAAGGCTTAGCAAAAAAAAAGCAAGACGTTATCTACCCCCAATTTTGACATCCCTCCCCCCCTTCCCGGAAAGAGCACTGAGAAAAATGACACATTCTCTCTTTTGGAATGAATGAAATCCTTTCTTTAAGACAAGGGTTTTTTCATTTGAAATGTGTAGTGCTGAAGATGTCAATGTAACGCTATCTACAGCATCAGCGAATAACTCCCATGCATGCAGTAGACCCAACACTACAACCTAAGATGCATTTCTGCCGTCATCACAGATGGCACCTTCTAGGGTCTAACGCTGGGTTGTTTTTGTTTGTTTTTGTCTTGGACTGATGCTTGCTTTCTCCTGGTGACTTTTTCAAAGGGCAGCACAGGGTGAAGCAGCTCTCTCTAAGTACGGAGGAATAGGTTCACAGTTCCACTCATGGGAAACTAAGGCATTTGTTTATTTACTTCATTTATACCCCTGTCTTCCTCCCCAGTGGAGGCCCAAAAGGGGCTACATCATTCTCATCTCCATTTTATCCTCACAACAGCCCTGTGAGGTGGGCTAGGCTGAGATAGAGCGACCGGCCCAAAGTTATCCAGCTGACTTCCCCGCTCTGCCACAGATTTGAACCTGGGGAGTCCAGATCCTAGCCCAGCACTCTGACCACTCCATCAATCTGGCTACTCTTAAGTCCCATAGATCTGCCAACAAGGATATAAAATTCTCTGATGTCAGTTATGCATTTTATTTATTTATTTTATTTATAAATTCAATTTATAGCCCTCCCTCCCCACAAACCAGGCTCAGGGCGGCTTACATTCAGGCATAAGCCCGCACATAAAAAAGCATTTAAAACCATTTAAAACATTCTACAATATTACAAATATAAAGTACTCCAGATGTTTCCATTGATCTTCTATAGAGATGACGAATTACTGCTGCTCTACCATCTCAGTGTTTTCTGTTCCATGTAATGCCGACGTTCTTTCTTCCAGGGCCAGATAAAGATGGTACAGTAGTGGCGGCTCCTACTCAAACGCCTGGTGGAAGAGCTCCGTCTTACAGGCCCTGCGGAACTGCATTAGGTCCCGCAGGGCCCAGATCTCCTCCGGGAGCTCGTTCCACCAGGTAGGAGCCGCCACCGAAAAAGCCCTGGCCCTGGTAGCGGCCAGCCTGGCCTCCTTCGGGCCTGGCATTGCCAGGAGATGTTGCGTCCCCAACCGTAGTGCCCGTGGGGGAACATATGGGGAGAGGTGGACCCCGACCATATAGGGCTTTAAAGGTAAGAACCAGCACTTTGAAGTGAATCTGGTACGCTATCGGCAGCCAGTGCAGTGCTTTCAGCACAGGCTGGATGTGGTCCCTATTAGGAAGACCCATCATCAGCCTGGCCGCAGCATTCTGCACCAGCTGCAGCTTCCGGATTTGCGACAAAGGCAGCCCCATGTAGAGAGCGTTGCAGTAGTCTAATCTCGAGGTGACCGTCGCATGGATCACTTTGGCCAAGTCACTGCGGTCGAGGAAGGGAACCAACTGCCGCACCAGCCAAAGATGGTAAAAAGTTGACTTAGCAGTGGCTGCCACCTGGGCCTCCATAGTTAGCGAGGCGTCCAGGAACACTCCCAAATGCCTAACCTCCGGCGCTGCCGCCAAAGGCACCCCATCGAAGGTCGGGAGAGCCCCAACCCCAGACCACCCCAACTCAGGCCCAGGACCTCCGTCTTCGCCGGGTTTAACTTATTTTATGCTGTTAAAGCAGCAAAATAAACATGGCGAGATTGCATGTATTTTAGTGTTTCTCCATGGCACCTGCATGTCTAGAAATTGTGGGTTTAGGCCTTGTTTTTCTTTGTAGAAGTGGCTGTATGTCTTGGCCAAGACAGCCCACAATCTGTGGGCGGAAGCCACCCTTTTCCCAATTGCTGTGCTTACTGAATACATGAGTCCGAAGTACTTCTCCCTGCTGTCATCAGCAATCCTTGTAACAGTCTTCCAAAGGGTGCAGCCGTTTGCCTCTTCTCGGGCAGGTCTCCCTGCAAGCTTTCCCACCTGGTTACTGACTTGCAGGACAAGGCCAGACTGCCCGGGGACTCCCCCGTCACATATTGGACGACAACTTTCCTTTCTGAATCCCGGCAAAGAAAACCTGACGGGACCACTGCGAGTGCTGATTTATTGTGCGGGGATTTTTTTGGGGGGGGGGGCTGAGTACACAAATGCATTTTTAAAAACTGCTGCCTTGCCCTTATCCCCAAACAGCTGGTTCAGGGACCCAGTGCCCATCGAGAAGGGGCTCCCTGCAGCGACTTCAGCTGAGCATCACCTGCCTAGCACTCCTAGGTACAGGGGAGGCTGGTTTAATCATCCCCTGCGGCACAAGTGGGGAGAGCCCGCCTCCGTTCAGTCCCTCCCCAAAGCTCTTTCTACCGTCCCTCCAAGTCAGACACAGCAGGACTTCTCCAAAAGGTTTTATTTTACAAAAAACAAAAACAGGCATCCAAACATACATACAGCTAGAGTCTGGTATCCAGAGCTGCATCATGATGTGTCCATGGTCTCCCCCTCTGGAAAAGGAAAAGCAGAGGTCAGCTGCTGTTCCGCCCTGAGCTGTAGATCTGAAGGTGTGCTGCTGCTGCTGCTTCCCGGGCGTTGCAACATCACTGAACGCGACCAAGTCCGAAGAACTAAGCTGCTGAGCTCCGGCATGTAAGAGCTGTGTGTGACAAGCCACTCTCGGGGGGGCCTTAATCAAAACGGAGTCCTCGGTTTTTGTAGCACACGTTGCATTCTTGGCGATCAGCCCGCCCCCGCCCCAATAGCAAGAATGGTGTGGAGTCCCTGGTTTAGGGGGATAACTCAGTGCGTTATTCCTCTTCTCCCCCTGATATTTACTCACTGAGTTCATTGAACATAAAGGCATCCTGGTATTCTTTCATGTACTGAGTGGAGCGGGATTCATCCAAGAAGAGTGAATACACACGTTTAATGTCGTCCACTTGAACCTCTGTGCCCTGTGGATGTCAAGAGAAGGGGTAGAGTGAGAGAGCTCCTTGGAATAGAGGTGACAGGTAAGCAAAGGTATTCAGAATTGCAAAGGGGAAAGAAAACCCATGCCGCCAAAGTCTGCTCTCTGGGCGTCAGAACTGATTTTGATTTGATTTGATTTATTTGATTTTTATCCCGCCCTCCCGCCGAAGCGGCTCAGGGCAGCTTACAACAATAAAAATAATAAAACAATGCCTCTAAAACAATATACAATACATTAAAATCACAATTTACCCACATTATAACATACACAAGACGGCGACTATAGATGCTGACATACGCAATCTAAGTTGTTGAATGCTTGGTGGAATAACTGACGAATCTCTGCTTCCAAACTCTCCCTAGACGAGAGCAACTGCTCTTCAAGCACATACAGGTCCTTTGAACCCACTGTTTTGTCTGTCTCATAGCACAACAGGCTCCCAGCCAGTGTTTCCTCTAAGCTGAGTTAGTGTGAGATAGCTCAGTTTATTAGCCTCCGGCTCACACATTTTTGTCTTAGCTCAGGGAAGATGGCTCCACACATTTTTGTCTTGGCTCAGGAAGGATGGCTCCAGACCAAACTAATTTATGCCGTAGCCAAATCGCTCGCTCACCACTTTAATGCCGGTAGCTCACAGGACTCCACAGCTTAGAGGAAGCATTGCTCCCAGCCCCTGCAAGGCATCAGGCCCACTAACAAAATCCAAGAATCCTTGCTTCTAACATAGGAGTGTATAAAGTCATAAATTACAGAGACTCCTGATCAAATTAAAATAATTATTATTATCATATGGCATTGTGCGTAGAATAGCCAGGAGATCCTAAGATTGTTCTAGCTCTTCAGCATTACACACTATTAGGTGGTGAGCTAGACTTGTTTTAAGGCAAGAGACATTGCCTCTACCTCATGGGCCTGGTATTCCTTGGAGGTCACCCTTCCAAATACTAGCCAAGGCTATCCAGGTTAGGGCTCAAATTAAGAAAATTCACGGGAAGAGGCGCCCCTAGTATGGACACGCACTGGGCCCCAAAGAAAGGGACTCTGGCTGATTTGTGAGTTCTGTCCCCACAATGGCCCTGCCCAGGATTGCTCAGACTAGCCCGATCTCATTAGCGCTCAGAAGCTACGCAGGATCAGCCCTGGTTAGTATTTGGAAGGGTGACCACCACGGAAAACCGGGGTCACTACACAGGCACTGGTAAACCACCTCTGAATGTCCCTTGTCTTGAAAACCCTACGGGGCCACTCTAAGTCAGCTGCGACTTGAAGAAGAAGAGTTGGATTTATACCCCACCCTTCACTTGGGAGTCTCAGAGAGGCTTACCATCGCCTTCCCTTCCTCTCCCCACAACAGACACCCTGTGAGGTAGGTGGGGCTGAGAGAGCTCTGGGAGTGGGGAAATCAAACCCAGTGATACAGATTAGAGTCATAAGAACATAAGAGATGACAGGAAACCAGGGTCACTACACAGGCACTGGTAAACAGCCTCTGAATGTCCCTTGTCTTGAAAACCCTACGGGGCCACTCTAAGTCAGCTGCGACTTGAAGAAGAAGAGTTGGATTTATACCCCACCCTTCACTTGGGAGTCTCAGAGAGGCTTACCATCGCCTTCCCTTCCTCTCCCCACAAGACACCCTGTGAGGTAGGTGGGGCTGAGAGAGCTCTGGGAGTGGGGAAATCCATCCTTGACAGATCCCTTTGGAGTCCATCGCTCTTAGCCACTACACCAAACTGGCTCTGACCACACTTTACACACACGCACCCCGGCCCTCAGCTGGTGCTCACCTTCCGCTTACGGCACACCAGGCTGGCTGCCGTGATGAGCTGGATGGCGTAGCGCAGGGAGGTCTCCAAGCCGATGCGGGTCAGCACTGTGTAAGCGTCTTCGTTCATCTCGACATCCTCCTCCTCGCACCTGCACAAGAACACAGATG